GGGGGGGGGGGGGGGGCGGGGAGAGGGGCTTGTAACATTAATCGTGTCGTTGACGCATAGCATTTGAATTTCATTGTACCAAACACCTTTAAGACAAACACTGGACGTCACTCATTATAAACTATAAAACTATTTGGGGTCAACACATTTCAGTTGAGTTTGTTTGTTTGGTCACCGCAATTGTTTATGTGGTAGGCTTTTTATTCTAGGTCTTTGGGTCACATCACAATAATGGGTTCATTCAACTCATCTAACTTAGACATGTGAGCATTGGGTTGAACTGTGTTTTGAGGCCCAAAAAATTTGTAAAATGAGGGACCTAGGCAGCCACCTTAGTGGCCCAGGCCTAGGGTCGGCCCTGAAGGTCAAGTATAATACTTCTGATGTAGCAGCCAAAGATCTTACAAGAAATGATAATCGACCACTTTGCTTCATGCCTATGTACGTGCACACACACCCCCATACCGCAATGAAACTAGGAAGTTTTCTTTGAGTGGCCAAGATAAACATTACCCTGTTGGAAAAGATAGTCACAGGATTAACTAGCAACAAAGCATAACTTATTTGAATTTATTTTCTTGAATTGCCTTCAAAATGACATCTCATGAAACCCATTATCAAAATTAGGTGGTTTTAATGTATGCTTTGTACTAATTTGGTACATTTAGTCTGAGTAAAGGTGTTGGAAACAATATTACGATTCTCTTCATGATTTGTGCTTTTAACTGATAAAAAATTTGTTCTTCAAATCAATTCCAGTTTCAGTCATTAGTGCTTGTTCGACCAGATGTATGGCACAAGTCACCTGTTTATCCAAATGGATTAACATAAAGCTGTAAATATCAACAGAGTTGCTTTGTCATTGCTAAACTCCCCGTGTAGTGCTCATCTGTATTGGCATATAGAATAAGTGTACAATACTACCCATCGTAAAAAAAAACACTATTTTATGTAAGAAAACCTTTTTGTAAGTAAATAGTAGTATAGAAGTTCTACTTGTAATTCCCTTTCATTTCGAGTTATTTGTGCACTTCATTAAATTTTTGAACCCTGGAGTGCGAAATCGGAGTTTTGCATGGTGTTCTTTCTGCAAGGTTTTTGCATAATTGCAGACATCAAAAGTTAGAGTTGGCTCTAGAGCAACCAGAGAAAGTTGGGTCATATACCTGCTCAATGGTGGACATTATCCAGCTAACCATTTTTCAAGGTTTCTTCTGCTATGTATATCTTTCTCTGTTGTATACACAGTCATAGACAAGAATTAGTGAGTGTATCGATAGGTCCTTGAGAAAACCTTCCTTTCACCCCCCTCTCTTCTTTTTGAGGAAATCAACCTTTCAAACCATTTCCAAATGCCATGAAGTTGAACCTGTTGAGCCGATTCCAAACCACAAAGATGGTGCTAATGAAATTCTTAGTAGTGTGGAAGTTGAATGAAGAAGTGCCACAGTCAGTAATGCGTTGAACAAGAATCTCAAGCGGCTGAAGATATGCTATTCAAGACCAAGAAGATGGTGCCAGAAACGATCTATTGGAACCAGAACCAACTTTTCTAGCAGCAGCCATGTAATCTTTGTGTTCACTCACAGATGAAGAAGATGTAGTAGCTGATGCCAGAGCCAAACTCAGACAAAACAGCCTCACAAGGAAGGCAGAGGAGATGACAACCATTAGAGGTGATCAAAGTGTATCCTTTTATGTAATGAAAATTGTATGTATTGCCACTCAGCTAATAGTTGTCAATACCTGAAAGTACAAAAGAACAAAGAAATTTTGTTTTCATAAGACAGTAGGGGCCATCTTCACTCTGTTTTCTCTTTACCGTTCTTATGATTGTTAAAATTGTGACTTTTTCTATTTGGCGGCAAACTATGGACCCTCATCAGAGAGAGAGGCCATATGTGCTGATTCAAATCCCAATCTTCAAATCATGATCGGCTAATGTGTTGGCTTCAATTGTGTTATTTTTATTTATTTATTTATTTTTTTGGTGGTTAAATTTCTCTTCAAGGCGTTTCTTGGAGGATCGTGCCATGACCATGATTTTCAGGAAAGTCTATGACCAGGATTTTAGGTTGCTTCCCACTATTTCTTTTTCCTTAAACTGCTACCTTTTCCTTCTGGTGATGGGATGAGATATGTCCAATGGCCCATGTGAGAAATCTATATTTGTCAAGCTGACACCATTGAGGAGGTCATGATTAGAACTTCTCTTTAACTGGAACAGGTTGAAAGTAGCAGTGGCTTATGGTCTGTCAAATGGAACTCCATCACCAAGATGCGAGGTTTGGATCCATTGGTTTCAGTTGTGGTGGTGGTCGTTACAGTGGAAGTGAATTGCCATCATTGGTGAATATTTTGGCCAGGGTATGACCTTAAACCCCACAGATTATTTTCTTTTTTTTTTTCTCTCTTAAACACTACAAAGCATGATTACTCCAACATGATTACAACAAAACATTCATATTTTAAATATATTTTATGAAATATTATAGTGCATACCCTCAATCCTTTGGTGCCATGGCAAACGAAAATCCGTGACAAAGCAACACTAAATTCTCTATCAACTGGGCTTAGTCTCAATGGTCCCATTAATTCGATAATGTCAATCGAGATGTAAAATTGTCAATGTTTGTTAAAAATAAAGGTACGTTATACTCAAACTCTTGAAGTTTGTCACTTAATTATATAAACTCTATGACATTTAGAATATTACATGTAAATCCTAAGGTTTGTATTCGTATAACACTTAAACCCTTCTCGTTAGTGTCTGTTAATATATCTGCTAGAATTTCATGATTTCATCATAATATACAAATATAATTCTAATACTATCCCCCTTTTTTTTTATGAGCAATACTATTGAGACATAATTTAAGGACATAATTTGGCGATTTAATGATTGTGATCATTAGATTGTCAGATGGTCCCAACATTAAAGTTTCACTGGTTCCCAACACTCTCAATCCAATAGTCATAATATATTAAGTCCCCAAATTATGTTTCAATAGTATTAGTGTTTTTTTATTGGGCTTGATGTCAATTGTTTATGGATAAATTACACTCAGTCCCCTTGAAATTTTTCACTTAATTATGTAGACTCTCACATTTGGAATATTATACTTAGACTCTTTAAAATTTATTCGCGTGTAAATGTAGACCCCTGCCTATGTTAGGTAATAAATTCGTTAGAATTTCATAATATGCCAACATAATTTTAAGAAAGAATTACACCTAAATTTCATGAGATTTGTCACTTAATCACTCAAACCCTCCTAACATTTAAAATATTACACACAGATCACTTGAGATTTGTATGCAAGTAACACTTAAACCCCCCTGTTGTAAATATATCTATTAATAAATTACACTTAGACTCTCCTAAAGTTTGTGGGTATATAATACTTAGATAAAAAATACTCCAATCAAATATAAAATATAAAATATTTTAAATTTTACAACCAAAATTTATATTCTATTGTATCATTTATTGAAATAAAATTAAAATTAAAAATTTATTTTTTTTTAAAAAAAAATTGTAATTAATATACAATTATACTATCTATTAGAATAAAACTAAAAAAAATCAAACAATGGGTCTAAGTCATTCATAATATAATATGAATTTTACATTCAAAATTCAAGTTTTATTATGTCATTTATTGGAATAAAATTAAAAAAAATTATTTAAAAAAAAAAAAACATAGTTAGTATATATTTATACAGTCTATCAGAACAAAACTAAAAAATTAAATAAGGAATCAAACTGTAATGGATACGATATCTTTTAGATTTACTTGGGGTAGTTTGGTATTTTAATTTAGTCATTTAAACGACTAAATTAAATTTTAGGGAGAATTACACCCAGACTCCTTCAGGTTTGTCACTTAATCACTCAGGACCTCTTGACATTTGAAATATTACACATAGACCCTTGAAGTTTGTATGCGCATAACATTTTGACCCCTGTTGTAAATATATCTATTAATAAATTACACTTAGGCTCCCCTAAAATTCGTGGGTATATAATACTTAGACCCTTTAACTTTAAAATATTATACTTAGACAAAAAATATTCCAATCAAATATAAAATGTCAAATATTTTAAATTTTATAACTAAAATTTATATTCTATTGTATCCTTTATTGAAATAAAATTAAAAATAAAAATATTTTTTTTTTTTAAAAATCGTAATTAGTATACAATTATACTATCTATTGGAATAAAACTAAAAAAATAAAATTCATAATAGAACATGAATTTTTCATCAAAAATTCATGTTCTATTATGTCATTTATTGAAATAAAATCAAAAATCAAAATTTATTTTTTTTAAAAAAAAAACTTAGTTAGTATATATTTATACTGTCTAATAGAACAAAACTAAAAAATTAAACAAGGAATCAATTGAAATGGACATAATATCTTTTAGATTTAATTGAGGTAGTTTAGTATTTTAATTTGGTCATTTAAACGACTAAATTAAATTCTACTAAACAATACAATTGTATCTAATTACAATTTTATAAGAAAAAAATGAATTTTTATTTTTGATTTTACTTCAATAAATGATACAATAGAACATGAATTTTGGTTATAAAATTTAAAGGGTTTAAGTATTGTATACTCACAAACTTCAAAGGATATAAGTGTAATTTATTAAAAGATATATTTACAACAGGAGTTTAAGTGTTACACGCATACAAATTTCAGGGGATCTGTGTGTAATATTTCAAATATCAGGGGTCTAAGTGATTAAGTGACAAACTTCAGGGGGTCTGGATGTAATTCTCCCTAAATTTTAATAGACAATATAACTGTATACTAATTACAATTTTTTAAGAAAAAAATAATTTTTATTTTTGATTTTATTTCAATAAATGTTATAATAGAATATGAATTTTGGTTGTAAAATTTAAAATATTTGATATTTTATATTTGATTGGAGTATTTTTGGTATAAGTATAATATTTTAAACTTAAAAGGTCTAAATATTATATACCCACAAAATTTAGGAGGTCTAAGTGTAATTTATTAATAGATATATTTATAATAGGGTCTAATTGTACGTACAAACTTTAAGGGTCTATGTGTAATATTTTAAATATCAAGGGGTCTAAGTAATTAAGTGACAAACCTCAAAAGGTTTGATTGTAATTCTCTCTAATTTTAATATTGCCCCTTCTTGTATGGCCCCAACATTAGTGCATAATATTCAACATTTTAATTCTACAACCAAATTTATGTTATATTATATCAGTTATTGACATAAAACCCAAAAATAAAAGCCTAATGTTTTCTAAAAAAATTATAACTAGTACAAACTTGTAAAATAGGCCTAATCAATATATTTTTATGTTCTATTATACCATTTGTTGAAATAAAACCAAACAAAATTTCAATTTTTTGAGGAAAAATTGTAATAGCTACAAATATAACAAAGAACACAAATTAATACCCATTTATATTCTATTATATTGTCTAATAGAATATGACAACAAAAAAAAAAATCACATTTTCTCCCAAAAAAAACCATAAATAGTACATGTATTGATATGTTTTCTGTATTATGATCACATAGTAAAATTACAGTAGTTATAGTAATAAAATATTAACGTCAGAGGTGTATGAGTTGAATGTGCATAAACGTTAGAGGGTTTGGATGTAATATATCAAATGTAAGGAGTCTAGGTGATTAAATGACAAATTTCTATGGGTCTAAGAGTAATTAACCCAATATCTTTCATCTTTAATTGAGGTATTTTTGGTCTTTTACTTAGTTCCGTTAGTTGAGTTACCCAACCGCCATTGATAAGGGGTCCGAGTGTAATTTTTCAAATGTGAGGCAGACTATATAATTAATTGATAGACTTCAAGGGATCAGGGTATAATTTACCCTAAAAATAAAGCTTAATTCTTCGTATCCATCCCTTGGGAAGTTTTATCTATTATAAATACTATTTAGTACCGAATAGTGTTTGGACATGACCTTACAATTAGGTTTATCAAAGTCTGACACGACACGATTAACTAACACAAATTGACACGAATTAAACAGATTTGTGTGAGACTTTAAGGGATTTGAGTGGTAAACGGATTGACCCGTTAGACACGTTTAATAAACGGGTCGTGTTTGAGAGAGTCCTGTCAACCTATTTATCATCCGTTTAAATAAAATTAATATAATAATAAATTAATAATTATTTTAAAAAATTAGACAATTTTTTTTTTAGTGATAGCCTCATAAAAAATATACATATTATTTTTAGTGATAGCCACATATTTTTTTTTTAATTTAATGACAGCCACACAAATATAATAATAAACTAATAATAAATTAAAACTAAGCGGGTTAAACGAGTCATATTGTGTTACTCGTTTATTAAACAGTTCTTGTTCATGTTGAGATTTTTCACCCGTTTATTAAACGGATCGTGTATGAGATTACATATTTTTATCCGTCACCTATTTAATCCGATACGTTTGACATTCTTACTTACGATACATAAATAGTTATCATATTTAATGGATAGGTCCCCACCTTTCTTCTGACAGCGTTGAAATGTGACTATAAAAATGCCTCAACTTGCAGAATCAATACCCTTTGTTTGTTTTGAATTAGTTATTTGCACTTAGATGAATTTGCTTGTTTTATAACACGTTATCAGTAC